GGGTTATGTAAATGGGATGAGTTATGGAATGAGTCAAGTCCTGCATATAGCATTTTCTGTTTTACTGTGCCCTGGGACACAATTGCACAAGCTCTTGCTGAAAGCAAGGCATTTATCAGAAACATTTCTTAGATGGGTGGAAAAACTGAGGGGTGTCTAATAGTTGCACTTGGTACTGAATTCTGCAATTGGATTCTGCAATGAAGCTAAATATATGCCTAATTAACTTTCATTGATTTTTCCACACACATCTCTGCTGCGGGGCTACCCCTCTTTTCCGTTTCTTGTACTTCTGATGAATTCCTAATTCACAGGCTTACAACATTTGTAACTTCCTTTTGTGGTTCTCTTTATTTTCAACTGCTTTGGAATCTGAAATCTTGTTTTTTTTACCAAAATATGTGTCCCTCTGGGCTTGTTATTGTAGGGTTGCCTGTAAGTGCTATCACTGCTGGCTTTGTTGATTTTTTTTTCCAATGGGGAACGTGTAATGGATAGCAAGGAGTCCTGCAATAAGACATAGCAATGTAAAAGGGGACGGTCAAATTCTGGGCCAAAATTGAAAACATCTCTACAGTGCCGTAGCAAGTTTGTGGGGGTCGGAAGGGGGTGAGTGGGGCAACTGCCCTGGGTGCCAAAGCAAAGGTGCTGCCCAGCCGGGGCAGGGTATGGGATGGAGCCGCGAGAGGCTCATTTGGGGTGGCAAGGGATGGGCTCATTTGTGGGGGTGAGGGAAGGGCACTCCTGGGCAAGCATGGAGGGTGCGTGTGCATGCGGCGAGGGTGGGCTGCCACTGCGGGCTTTGCCCCGGGTACCAAATTTCATTCCTATGGCACTGCATCTGTAACTACTGCTCCTCCACTATACCTGACACCCTATTTTCATTCTCCCAGCTCTCCTAGGTTTGCAGTTCAGCTGCTGTTATGCAGTTCATATATAGCAGCAGGTTTTCTAAGAAAACATATTGTCAGTAATGAGTATCGCTGGACCATGAATGACAATAAGAATGCTTAGCTCTTACACAGCACTTTTTATCTGTAGACACCGCAGTGATCATAAGAAGTGCCGTACTAGGTCAGAGCAATGGTCCATTTAGGCCAGAGTCCTGTCTCTGGCAGCAGCAGCAGTAGATGCTGTGGAGGAGGGAAATATGAGCAGGACATGTCTACAGTGATCCTTGTCATACCTTTCCTGGCATCCACTGTCATTGGTTTAGGGATGTCAAAAGATGCATCCCTGACTGTTCAATTTAAGAGTTACTAATGGATCTGTCCCCCATACATTAGTCTAATCCCTTTTTAAACCTGTCCATTTTCTCTGCCTCTGCAACCTCCAATGGCAACAAAGTCTATTAATTAACTAGCTGCTTTATAAAACATGGGCAAACACCATTTCCCTACTTTATATGTAAGGCAAGTATGGTATGGAGATATCATTCAGTTATTTAAAGCTCCCCTGTGTATCAGAGATGGTAAGAGACCCCCTGATCCTAGACTCTTGGTTCAGTGGACCATATTTGTTCCCCACCATATTATTTATTATTTGAATTATAGTAGACCACGAAGCCCTAGTCATGACACTTTGTGTAAGGCGCTATACAAACAAAGAACAAAAAGATGGTCCGTGCCCCAGAAAGTTTACAATCTCAGGGTTGATCTTACAGAAATATATTTTATGGATACGTGACGTAAGATGAGAAAGGATTAAAATCAGAGTGAAAGAACTTATTTTCAGATGCAGGGCACCAGCTCTCCACAGTTAGCATGGCAAGTATTAATTTCTTGCATTTGCATTGAATTCTGTGATGGATTTAAAAATACGCTCTCCTTATATTTGTGTGTCGGCGTACATCACTAGGGGCTTCAGGATGCCGTACAAGATGGTTCCCACCAGATCCATGTTATTCTCAGTGAGCTCACTGGAGAACAAGGCACCTAATTTCAATCCTCTGGATGCCTAGTTGTAGGAGGCAAATGCTTACAGCTTTGTCTGCCCCACAAGACTGGACAGGCAGAAGATGCTACAGACCAGGACTCTCCAGGACCTACCCCCATTTTAAGATAAGAGGTTTGCTTTGCCCTGGTCTCTTATTTTCTCTCCTAATACCTTTTCCCTACCACCACTGATAACTCCAATAAACTTCCTCTGCCCCGGATCTACCAACATGACAGGATCTCCTTCTCATCCCAGATGTAATGGTCCGTTGCCGCTGTGCAAGGTTTGTTGAACTTTCTCCCTCACCTCTCTCCTCTCCCTCTTCTAGCTCTAAACTTTGAGGGAATATCTTTTCATTCTTGTTGCCCACATCTTTCCTCTCCTCCTACACACCCTTCCAACAATTTTTCCTTCCCAGCACCCTTCCTGCCTTATTCTCTGTGCCAGTGAATTCTCCTTGGTCTATACAATTTTGTCACTATGGTCCTGTCTTTTATCATCTGTTTCTAGTGTGAATCCACCACAGCTGGCAATCTGCTCCCTTCTATCCTTTATAAAATGCTATAACCTATATCAGATTACAAAAATGGTTAATACTAAAGAATAATGCCTATTCAGTCCCTAGCTTCTCTGTAGAGACCACTGACAAAGGACTTTATAGCGGTGACTGGTGTTATAATGTCAGCGTAAGTCTGTCAATGCCCTCGACAGCAACATTTGAGTATCTGAGTTGGTCTAATAAAAGATATCAGATTAACCCAAAGATCCTTGTCTGACTATGTACTCAGAGCAACACGGCTACAACCTACACCCTTTGTCACGTCAGCAGCCACCTTGGAGAACTATGATCTCCTTGGCTTTCGCACAATAGCAAGAAGGGTAGAATAAACCGAGAAGAACCGAATAAAACAAATTCTCACATTCTTTCATTGTATCTTTCCCACATAGTTCTCTGCTTGAACAAACTCCTCTGTATCCAAAGCTTTCCATTTCTTCTTCAACATCCCTTCCTAAGATCCCTTTTACAGTCACTGGTCACTAGCCTGGCTGCCTGGGTGAGGACTGGAGTCAGAGACAGCATGGGTGGTAATGCTCAAAGAAGCAGAGTACAGGCATAGTAGTTCCCATCCAGTGCTGCTCTGTGTTTGCATTCATTCCTGTGCCGGGTTCTTTCATTTACATGGGATTTGTCTCAGTTAGACCATAACCTCCTCGAGGAAGGATCTTGGTTCTTATCAGATTCTTGTAATACTCTATCTGTCTATCTATCTATCTATCTATGTCTTTACCATATATGATGCTAAACCCAAACCGCAGATGTAACCACCCCCAAACCGAGTATCTGTCCCCAAAACTTCACTTCTCACATCCCACTGCCACTTACAATGCTGGATAAGATACAAAGACTATTCTATTCATAAAGCCCAAGCCAAAACAATTTGTTGTGGGGAATGAGGTGGGGAGCAAAGACATAACAGACTTTCTACAAGACTCCCTTTTTTTCTTCTATGCAAACTATTTAAGCAAAAGGGGTTGGCGTCTGAAGCAAGCTTATTACCATGTCAGTCCAGTAGATGGTACCAGTTCTTTTTCTTCATCCATTGTCAGTTTTAGTTGTAGGAGACCATGCTCGGAAGATGATAATATCGCAGAGATGGCATCGGACCTCTGCATGGAATGAGCTTTTTAGGTAGTTTGAAGGGATCTCTGGGTTTTGACCCAGCCTTGAGTTCTCGCTGCCTCTTGAGAAAGACTTTCCTCACTTCATCTCTGCTGCATTATCTTCTCCCATGGTTTCTGCCTCGGGTTTCAGGACTGCCAGCTTCCCGCCCCATCCCTTGATGTCCAACTTGTACTTGGAAAACATATTCTATTCTGCATCTGAGCTGTAAACTTAGTGTCAGAGCCATGTAAAATCTGATGACACACACCTACAAGAAAAAGGAAATTCTTAGTTTAGTGTACTATGGCATGACTCACAGTTTTGTCTTCACCTAATACTAAAAATACCCAATGTCAAATTTCCCTGCTCACCTATTCTAGACAAAAATATTTTGTCTGTATCCTTGTATAA